GCAGATTTTCATTTTTCAAATGCAGTTTTCAAAAAGAAACAATTTGGAAAACTCAAAGATGAAAAATATGAAGGTGGCTCTTGAGGAAGAAGCGATAGTTTCCAAGGAAACTTTCCAAAACTTGCCTACAAAAGTGACGGCTACAAAATGAGGAATTGGTTTGCTTTTACACCAAAATTCCTAGGTTAGAATTGTCCAATGGTTCGTCTATTATGAAGTAAAGATGACGGTTTTTTTAATAAAGGGTCGTCTATTATATGTAAAGATGACGCTTTTTTGTAAAAAAGGGTCGTCTATTGTGAAGTAAAATGCATACATTAACAGTTGTTGGGTAGGAGGTGCCTCATTTATAGCCGCTGGAAGCTCCTCCTTTTCAAGAAACCCTAATGGTTTCCATCCAATTTGGCCAAGTCTTTCCTTTCCTTTCTTTCTCTTATCTTCCTTTGACTCATCCTATTTGGTGAAATTCTCTCTGCCCAATCGCTCAAAAACAAGGTTTTGGGACCTCTAGGCTTTTCCCGCAGCTGTTTCAGTGGGGGACTCCCATTTTCGGCCATCTCCTTTCCTTCTTTCTTCCCTCTTCCATGGCTAGATCTACTGGGGGGAAGAAATGGGCATGTACGCTGGTTTGAAGGGTGTTTTGCTCAAGTATCCTTTGGTTTTTTGGATGGCTTGTGTTGGGAATTGTCTTTGGCCATGTGCTGGAGATTCCCAGCAGCCTGCATACATAGGTAAATTTTGGCTTTTATCGTTGTTTTGTCTCCAACCATGTGCTGGAGACTTTCAGATATTTTATAGGTCATTTGGGCCATTCTTTAAGATAATGGGCTAATTTTGCTAGAGTATTGGGCTATTTTTTTCTAAAGTATTGGGCTATTTTCTCCCTTTTATGCTTACCCACATATTTGGGCTCAAGAAATGGGCTTGAGTTTCGGGGCTCCCAAGCAGCCCAAAACTTCCATTTCTCGGCTCATCAATAGGCCTCATGAAAACTCGTAACCATCCATATCACAACCCGCTCAGCAAGCCCCAGGCATTCACGTGGCTTGGGCCCACTTAAGCTTGTAGGGTGGCGTGTTGCTTATTTTCTTGGCGTGGCACGTGTGCAATCGTATATGACGAACTCTTGCTCATCCAAGTTGGGTTTCTTCCCAAGTTAGGTGTCGTATTGGGCTAGAAATATATTTGGGCCCAGCCTTGGATTTTTTGGGCCTCAACACTTTTATATGTTTTTAGCTAAAATTTAACTAAAAAATAGAGAGCATGATTGTGGATGCTTTTAGGGAGCCCATTGTGGATGCAATAACTTATTCCCAATAAGTAGCAGCTGAATTTAATTTTTTTGGATTAGAAAGATAGACCAACTAGTTCTTCGTTTAGTGCTACTTTTGTTTCTAATTTTGAGAGTGTTTGTAAGTTCAAATCTCCAAATCAAATTGATAAAAAAAAAGAAGAGGGAGATAGAGCAATATCTTAGACAAAAATCTTGCGTGGATGCTTTTAGGGAGCCCATTGTGGATGCAATAACTTATTCCCAATAAGTAGCAGCTGAATTTAATTTTTTTGGATTAGAAAGATAGACCAACTAGTTCTTCGTTTAGTGCTACTTTTGTTTCTAATTTTGAGAGTGTTTGTAAGTTCAAATCTCCACATCAAATTGATAAAAAAAGAGGGAGATAGAGCAATATCTTAGACAAAAATCTTGTACAATTTGTCATGAAAAATATCTTGGGTTGTCTCCCTTTCATAGGCCCAAGAAAATTAGATAGAATGGTCAGCAGAAAGAAAATGTGGGAACTCTTGAGAACAAAAAATAAAAATAAAAAATACTAATATTCTAAGCCGATGACACATTGTCATGTCGAAAAGTTAAGCATACAATCCTCAGCATTCAGGACCCAAGTAGTGTCGGTTTGTGTTTTTCATTGATGCATGTAGGATAAACATTATTACACACATTTAAATAAACGTTCAAACCCCTAGAGCCCCTCTCTCCCAATAAGGGCTAAAATCCAATCAATAATCAGACAATATTGGCAAGACCTAACTCAAAGCATAGAGGTCCCTCTCTTATTTGAGCAAAGACCGAAAGACAGTCTGACATAAAAACTCATATAATTGGCACTGGATTAATAAAATGTGAAGCAATCTTATCCTTCACCACTTTACCAACACGCGTGTAGCCATCGTCACCTTTGTAAAGGAGATGTACCACTTTTGTTAAATTAAGAACTCTCATTAGGACAGCCATTGGCGCGGCAGTTGGTCTTAGAAACTCCTCGTTTATGTCCTTCCACAGATCCACAACTTGCTTGTTCAAAGCATCAAGTGACTCTTGCTCCGACACCCCATATTGCTTCATGTAGCAATCAATACTACAAGCAACATGGCCTCTCTTTCTCAAACTGCATATAGAAATTCAAAATATTAATTCGGCAATATTATAGAAAATCAAATTTTCACTCTTACTACTACTGCTAACACCGATGTTGTTCTCAACTTAACCACCAACTAAGTCTAGTGTGAGTTTTTATCATCAAAGGCCATGATGCTATTAGTTGTGGAACCACTTATTATATATAGTATTTTATTTTGTCAAGTTTTCGATGTGAAACTTTGCATTTTAAACATCCTTACCTAATCTAGCATGACAAGAATATTCTATACCTTGCTTGTGACAATATCATCCATGAACCTAAAAAGGGTCGTGGAAGCTCTAACAATTTTTGCGTCATTGAACAGCCACTCAAATGTCTCCTTTGTTACAATATCTCCCATGCCAAGAATAAAGTGATGAAGTTCAGATAGAATGCAGAGGAAAATTGGTGATGATGAATGTATAGCTCTCTATACATATGAAGAACTTGACTTAAAGGATAATTAGGTATAGGAATTTTGGTGTATTATTGTAATTAGGCTTGCAAAGCGGCCCTAGAGTACTTTGACTTTCATTTTTTAGATTTTATTTTGTTATATTGTACTTTTGATATTCTATTTATGAAAGAAACAATTTTTGAGTGTATATATATATATGGCGGGGGAATAGGATATTGGAGTATGTATTTCTGATACCATTGGAAACAAGAAAAAAAAGAAGCTAAAATGTAAAATTACTACGTCACTTTTACAGTTAATAACCGTTGTCTTGGAGTTAATAGACGATGGTTTTTCCAATAAATCCGACGTCTTTTTATACAATAAATGACGGTTCTATTAGACAAACTGTCGTCTTTACAGTTAATAGACGACGGTTTTGAGTAAAAGTGTCGTCTTTACAAATAATAGACGACGGTTAATCACCGTCATAGTTTAACATTCAAAAGATGACGGTTGATTTAACGACGGTTTTCAAAAGAAAAAGACGACGGTGAAAACCGTCGTTTATTTCAATTTTTGTACTAGTGCGTATTTCATGTAACTTGTTTGGTGGTAATGGAATTTTGATCTTCCTCTGAAAAAACGTAACAAGTTAACACATGTAGCATTTGTCATATACTAAATTTCTCTCTTCAATTTTCACTTCAAAATTAGATTTTGAAGGAAACTTATTGTGGGTGGATTTTGTTATTTAACGCTGCCAATGGAGAAGGTGCCAGCTCCTTTTAATAATAATATTTTTTTTTAATGTTTATACAAACGACATTCTTCTTTAATCAAATATAAACTCGGGGAGGGGAACACATTTATTGTTATCAAGTTTTTTCTTTTAAATTTCTTTAGGTAGCTGCAAAAATTAATTTCATTAATAAAAGAAAAATACAAGAACATAGCCCCCACAAAGGGCTCTTACAAATAATAGAAAGATACAAATAAAACTCTTAAATTTAATTGGTCCTTTTATTTAGTCTCACGTAGGAATATGACTAGTGATTAGATTTATGGATAGGGATATAAGAATTTGGGTGGCAATAGCATAACCAAATTAATTTACAAATTTTGAATTAAAAAGAATTCGAAGTTGTAAAACTTGTAGAAGGAGAGCACAAAAGGAAGAAGACGAAGAAGAAAAGTGGACTCCTTTTAAGACCATTGCTGTTGCTGACAGAGATCCATATAAAAGGAATAAAATAATAACAGATATTTATAATAAAATTCCCCAAAATAAAATAATAACAATTTTCTCCTGTCGGTAGCCTTCGACTGATCATGTCCATTCCTTTCCATTTCCCTTCCAGTTTTACTTGGTCTCTATTTTGGTGGGCAGATTTGTGGATCTTTTGTGTGCAGCTGTGCTGGTTTGTGTGCCAGGTTGTAGTGAGTTTTATGCTTTTTTGTGTTTTTGAGTTCACTTGGTGTATGTTGGAGCATGAAATTTCCAGTCCTCTATCAAGTAATCTTGTATTCCGTGTTGAGAAGCCGGATACCATTTTAATTGTCATTAATGAGGAATGAGGGGTGTACCTACAAGAAAATACTCCAACGCTCAAGTCAGTGTTCGGTTAGGAATATTGCAGTAGAGTCAGAATAGTGTCATACCTATCTTCCTTTATGCTAGGGGATTAGTTGTCTTTTTATAGGTATTGAATCCTTGGACCTTAAGTCCCATATCCCTATCTCCATGTTCTATGGTAGTTGATATCATGTTATTTGATTCCCTACACTCTCTCAAATTTGAGGTTCATGAGAAATGACTTGTTATTTGGGGCTTAATTTTTGCTCCCATAGTGCAACTGATTTTGGCTTTCTACATGAGAAATGACTTGTTATTTGGGGCTTAATTTTTGCTCCCACAGTGCAACTGATTTTGGCTTTCTACATTAATAAAACTTTCTAACAAAACAAAAAAACTTAGTTCCCAAATTAGTTTCACTAAAACAATAAAAAGATTTCAATCTAGCTAGTGTTGTTTACTAGTAATCTTTTAATATTTTTAGTTTTGATAATCAATCTCATCTCTTGAACCAAATGGAATGGTCATCCGATGAGATATATCTACGAGTTATTTACACTAACATTCTCGGAAGTTTTCAGTGTTTTCATAAACTCCCTTAGAATTTCAAAAATTACACAAATACCCCATGAGGTTTTAAATTATTTTTACCTTTTTCAAACGACTGTTGATGACCATCAGTTGGTGACCAGAGCAAGTTGATCTTTTCAAAGATAAGATCTTATCATTAGTTGGCCCATGAAGCCAATGAAATGATGGCAGATAATTAACGTGTGAAATCCAAAAGTGGTGATAAGTTTGATAGATTGGGAGCGTCTTGATAAGAATTGTAGCTTTTGGAATATTTAATCATCCAAATCGACGAAGCCGATCTTCAACATGATCTTACGAAAATTGGCAGATAGCTGACAGGCAGTGAATCATGCATGATTCATGATGAACAGGTTGGACCTTTCATGATAACGCGACACTGGATGCATGTTTTGTGTTGAATTATCCAGCAGTGCTGGAGCCCTACAAGCTCGTGTTACAATTGCTAATGTTGTAATGTTGTGAACTTTTATTCTCAATTATTTTAAATCATTCCAATAATTTTTTTATAAAAATTATTATTATTATTTTTGCCAAAGTTAGGAAGGTGGAGGAGGGCAACTCATAGTTGCTTGAACTTGGGATCATTTGGGAGCACATCAAAGGCCTGAGCCAATCCAACTAACACCCTATTAGTGTGGTAAATTATTATTGCAAACAATAGAAAATAAGATGCAAAATAATGAAACATAATAAGGACCGGACCGGCCTATCCCAACTAACCAGCTTCAAATACCTTTCACAGTTAAGTACTATATGCAGAGATGGTATCTGTTCAGAGCCGGCCTTGTTATTAGTCCGGAAGGATAATCGCCTAGTGCCCCACATCGAGGATGGCCCCCACAATTATTTTATAAAGGCAAAGACCTCAAACGGTGTTAACATCCAAACACCTTTAAAACGCCCCTAGGTTAACCAATTTGCTAAACAACCACAATTTAATATATTAAGGGCAAAATAGTAAAAACTTAATCTTTAATTAAAATTTTGTAAAAAAAAAAAACTAATTTGTTGATGCTAAAAAATGTTCCGACATTGCATTAAGCCTACATGTAGCATGCATCGGTAGAGGTAATAGTATTTGTGAAGACGTTTTTCACTCTGAAAACGTGGATACATAGCTGATAAGCTCGTTTTTCAGGATCATATCTAATACTTAAATCGGATCAAACACATATTGTATATTGAAGTGGAAAATAAAGGAGGAAAAAGAACACATGTTAAACATATGCTCTAAATTCAGCCAATGGCCCAAATCGTACGTGACAAAAAGAAAGACATCCCACTCAAAAAGAGTCATGAAAGGGAAGCCCACTTACCGGCCACGACATGGTAATTATATCTTAATTAGAGTGAATGATGTGGATTTAGCATGAATTAATCTCGTTTATGATATGTCGGTTGGATTCTAGCTTTGTCCCAAGCAAGTACCCTGTGATCATTTTGCCTATATATACATAATCGTATGAGCAATATTTCAGTACAAAGCAAACCATGTCTTTCCCAGTAGCAGCTCAAGTAGCACACAGTGCTGAGCCAGAAATTTTTCGGCAGACAGCAAATTATCACCCAAGCATTTGGGGAGATCGGTTCCTCAATTATGATGAAAAAAACATTGTAATGTTATTCAAATTATTT